AATGTTTTTTCACTTCTAGTTTTCGTTATTTCGTTAGTTTTCGTTAACGATAATAACCTTGACCGTTACCTTAACCAACCAGGTGCAGCAGTTTGACCTTCCTCATCAAAAGTGTTTGATAAACTGTTTTATTGATTAATCTTTATTTGCAGAGATAAGAACGACACTGGTGCTACAGCAGTTTTAGCTGTTCTACAAACCTTTTCAGTCGGTGTGCTGTGACAAGCTTTCAAAGTCTTCGTCTTGTTTTTTAAAGCAGTCTGCCCTCCAGTCGTCTCCTCTATAATCTACAGTGTGACCCACTGCTGTCCACAGATACATAGCCTTCGACTTCCACAAAGAGTGCAGCCACATGAGGTGGGACCGTCTCCAGATCCTGGTGGATGCTGTTGCTGACAAACAGGAGGAATACGGGTAATAAAATGAGCAGCTGCTCTTTGCTGCTGTCGAGCCGTTCACTGATGACGAGCGTGTGCGTGTGCAGGTACTTCATGGTGAACTCGGAGGGGAAGACGGTAGCGCAGCAGAAAGGCGTGTTCCGCAGTAACTGCATGGACTGCCTGGACCGGACCAACGTCATCCAGAGCCTGCTGGCTCGCCGCTCGCTGCAGTCGCAGCTTCAGGTATTTAAGGTCACAGCTGCTGTGTGGTGTAACGCTGCAGGACGGCGCTGCGCTCGCACGTCTGCCCCATGGGTTTGTAATGGTTTTAGCGTAGAGAGCAGACTGTACATGAAATAAGCTGGTGGCCAGTTTGGGAAGGTGCACAGGTGTTGTTGGTGTGTCTCCACAGAGGATGGGCGTCCTGAACGTGGGGCAGCGCATCGAAGAGCAGGCCGAGTTTGAAAAGATCTACAAGAACGGTAGGACGCTCTGTTAGCACAGCTGCATGTGCCGTGTGATCGACTGTAGCCTCATGTTGTTTTTGTGTGTGTGCTCTCTAACCAGCATGGGCTGACAATGCCAATGCATGCGCTGTACAGTACGCAGGAACCGGAGCCTTAAAAACAGACTTCACCAGGTACCGTAGCACCACACTGACACGTGCTCAGCTCTGATGGCTGCTGGCTAACTGGAGTTCATCTGTTTCAGGACAGGGAAGCGGACCAGGTGGGGGCTGCTGATGGACGGCTGGAACTCGATGATCCGTTATTACAAAAACAACTTCTCTGATGGATTCAGACAGGTGTGAAAGCTACTGCACACTTAAATAAGTTCAGTGTCAGAACAACAGACCGTTTCAGTCTCGATTCTGAAAAAGTTCGGACTCGGTGTAGAATATTAACAGCATCATCTGAGACATCGCTAACTCTGAACTCTGAGACGAGCAGGAAGTTCTCCATGGAAACACATAAATGACTGTTGCCTCACAGCAGGATGGTCCTGAGTTCAGGTCCTCCAGCAGGTCTTCCTGTGTGCATGTTCTCTCCAGCTTCCTCCCACAGTCCACAGACATGCAGACATGCACAGTCCACAGTTAGTTTCCAGTTAACCTGTCCCCACGAAGTTACCCATAGGTGTGAATATCTGTTAGCCCTGCGACAGACTGGTAACAGCGCCCATGAGACTGCTGAGATAGCCCCACCCCCCGTGACCCTGGATGGAGGGTCGCACTGGTTAACGACAGACTGGCCTTCTTAAATACAACTGCTGCTTCGGTCTTATTTGTTGCAGAAATGAGGTGTAATGCAGCCAGTTCAGATTCATGCATGTGCGTTGTTTCAGGACTCCATCGACCTGTTCCTGGGTAACTTTGCTGTCGACGAGTCGGATGGACCCACTCCGCTTCGTGTGCAAAAGGACTGGAAGTTCCTCACAGTCAGTACTATCAGCACCGTGTCCTGTCGTCTCCAGCAGCAGGACGTTGTGACTAACTCGTGTTTTTATCTTTGCAGCTGCCCATCATTATGCTGGTGGCATTTTCCATGTGCATTGTCTGTCTTCTCATGGCTGGTATGTACAACTGCTGATCCTTAATCCTGTTTGGTGTGGACGAGCACTGTCCAGCTCCTAAACATTTATGTTTTATTCAGTATGAAGTGAGTGAGCTCATTGAGTGTAACTCCCAGGCCTTAGAGATGAATCCAGGGTTTAACTATGATGGTATAAATGATGGACGTAGTTTTCAGATCATGCAGCTTGACCCAAACTTGCATTATTTTAATGGCTATCAAGGGCTGATGTATGTGCTCTGGGCGCTTTGAAGCCCTTCACTTCTAACCTGACACTGAGGCTCTCCCATGGATGCCCAAGGATACTTTGACATGCAGGCAAAAGCTGCTGGAGATTGAGCTGCTCATGCTCTGATTGGTCGTCCACATCCTGAGCCACAGCTGGTTGCAAAAAGACTTATTTTGGAAAACAGCACCCTGACCAACAGATAAATTCCAATGATCTGAGGACGCCATCATCATGCTGGTGTCAGCCTCAGTCACAGCTGCTTGCAACAATGTAAACACTCACCATCAAAGTGATACTCAGGCGACGTCACACTAGCTACTTGGGGTGCAACAATACACAAAATTCACGGTTCAATATTTTTTCGATACAAAAAAAAATGTTCATGCTTTTTTAATTTGTCATTTATTAAAATTATAAATATATATTTTAACTCAAAAGTACAGTTTTTAAATTTAATGTTGCTGAAACAACAAAGTAATAAATAAATCTATCTGATGGAGGAATCACTCATCTTTGGAAAAGAGAGTTTATTACAGAGAAATGTCTCTTTCCAAAATAAAAGCTCTACTGTACGCTTCTTCTGGGCTATATTCTCAGCAGCATATTAAACATATCAGGTCCCCATAAGGAGGATCATGTGCTAACGGCTGTCTAAATGACTCGGCTAAAGTTTGTAGCATGCGTGCTTGTTGTTTTTGTCTGCTTCCACTTGTCTTTGCAC